CTCACAGAATATTCTCACAGAATACCAGCGTAAAATAGCAGCTTAACACTGCTGTGTTTCGTATGGTGAGCGTAGGGAACCGGAGACCCTTTTTACTGGAAACGAGGCATTCCATCTTAGTCCTCACGGGTGACAACGCATCTGCATTTTGATTCTTAATCGAAGATAGATGTAGATGTCTATGGGCCACAACAACCACTTACAATCAGGTGGACTGTATGCTCGTTTGTCACCCTTATCCTATAAAAAATAATATTGGTGTATAGGGCTCATAGGATAGGTCTAAGGAATCATGGTACTTATTGCTGGTTACGGCTAAATTTTCATAAACCTGTGATTTTTATTTGATTATCAGTGCATTTGGATAAGGAGCATTTAAATTTAAGTTCTAGCTACTGAATCAAATGCATTTACATTATGCATATACATATATAACATATTCATCTTCTGCAAACAAAAAATATGATAATAGAAAATGGGCTACACGTCTTGTGTTGGATCTGCCTTTTTTAATTTGTATCACCGGACGTAACAAGATGACTGCTATGTGAGGAACATGGTTAACATGAATAAAAATAGAGATAATTTTACAAAGTACTTTGGTGCGCAACACCGTAACCGTTTTGCACAGGCGACGACGGTCCCACCATCACATCGTCGACGACCACCGGAGCATACTGACCGCATATTAAATTTGTAAATTTTATATTCATTATATCCATCTATCAGTGACCAATAGTTTTAATTACATCAGTTTGTTAATAATATATTGAAATTTTCAAGAAGAGAGAAACTGCCTAGTAACGCCATCTATCGCCAATAAAGAAAATATACCATTCTATCATTCACTCTATAGCTATGTAAAATGTACCTACCTATGTAAAGCTTATCCATCAAAAAAACGTTAGTCTGTTCGAAGCTATTCAACTCGTTTTATTAGGTTATGGTCTCAGACTAATATTTTCGGAAAAATAAGTGCTCGTTTTCATTCTAAAAGCCACGGAAATAACAGTGAACAATAGTAAATAGTGAGCTATTGTGGATCGGACTAGAATTTGTTCAGATTTGAACTTTTGGTCGTATTTGTGTTACATTTAGAACACGCTTGAACAATGGCCGACAGTTTTTTTTTTATAGGAGAGGGGGTAAACGAGCATGCGGCTAACCTGATGGTAAGCGCCTACCGCCGCCCATGAACAACTGCAACACCAGGGGAACCAGAAGAATTTCAGATGCTTTGCCGGCCTTTTAACAAGGAGTAGGCTCTTTTCTTAAAGGTCCCTAAGTCGTATCGGTCCAGAAAAATCGCTGATGGTAATCGATTCCACAAGGAAGTCGTGCGAGGAAAAAAACATCTTCTAAATCGCACAGTAGTGGACCGCCAATCATCCAGATGGTGTGGATGGTATCGGGAGTTCTACCGCGATGTGCGTTCGTGAAATTTGGCGGCTGGAATTAATCCGAACAATTCCTCAGAGCACTCCCTATGGTAAATGCGAAAGAAAATGCAAAGGGATGCAACATCTCTTCGCAGTGCCAATGAATCGAGCCAATCGGAAAGGACTCATTCGTCGAAGATTCGAGCCGCTCTGCGCTGGATGCGGTCAAGAGGAAGGAACTGGCACTGGGGAGCCCCTGCCCAGAGATAGGAACTGTATTCCATGTGAGGCCGAACCTGCGCCTTGTAAAGATACAGGCGGTGTACCGGCATGAAATACTGTCCCGCTCTGCTGAGTAATCCAAGCTTTTTAGAGGCCAATTTGGCCTTCTCTTCCAAGTGACCACGAAACTGCACGTCACTCGATATGTCGACTCCGAGGATTCCGATACTGGCTGAGGCAAAAAGGGGAGCCTTGAAACTAAGGAGATACGACAAAGGGGTTCTTTTTAACGGTAAACGCGCAAACTTGTGTCTTCTGAGGATTAAACTGGACTAAATTTAGTTGCCCTCAATCCGAGACTTTGTTCATCAAAGACTCTACTTCAGACACAAGTTTGTTCCGCCACTCGGCGACGTTTTCCCAAAAAATATTGGCACGGCCGATGTATAAAGCATCACCAGTGCTCTCATCCGCATAGAAATGAATGTTACCAATAAGCAACGTATCACTGATATGCGGAAGAAACAGCGTTGGTGATAGCACACAGCCTTGTGGAACACCAGCGTTAATAGGCTTGTAGTCAGAACACACACCGTCTACAACGACCTTGATGCTTCGATCTGCAAGGGAGCTGGTGATCTAATTGCACAATTTCTCGGGAAGCCCATAGGAAGGGAGCTTCGAAAGAAGCTCTTTGGGCCATACCCGATCGAAGGCCTTCGCAATGTCTAAACTAACAGCCAACGCCTCCTCCTTGGACTCCACTGCCTCCGCCCATCTATGGGTCAGGTAGACCAGAAGATCACCAGCTGATCGAGCCCGACGAAAACCGTATTGGCGGTCACTAATCAGCTGGTGATCCTCAAGATACCGCATGAGCTGGCAGTTAATAATGGATTCCATTAATTTGAAGAACAAGGAGGTGATGGCGATAGGCCTGTAGTTAGACGGGTCTGAGCGGTCGCCTTTTTTAGGGATCGGGTGAACAAAATCTGTCTTCCATGAATTCGTGACTACGCCTTGGGAGTAAGAGTACCGGAAAAGACGCGTTTGGACCGGTGCCAACTCCGGAGCACGAGTCCTCAGCACAATTGGGGGGATTCTGTCAGGCCCACTCGACTTCTGGATGTCCAGGGAGAGGAGTGCTTTGCGAACCAAGCGCTGTGAGAAAAGCACATCCGGCATGGAGCACTCACACCGCGGGATGGTCGGCGGTGTTTTCGTCCCGTCATCAAGAGTCGAGTTGGACGCAAAAAGGGAGCCTAAAAGGTCGGCTTTCTCTTTTGCGGCTTGGGCCAGTGAGTCGTTCTCCCTGTGCAGAGATGGTAGTGATTGCTTACAGAAATTCGCTTGAACAGCCTTGGCGATAGACCAGAATGCACGGGATCCCGAAGGAACACGAACTAGTTTCTCGCCAATTCTGCCTATGTGCTCTGACTTTGCCTTGGCAGAAACTCTTTTGAAGGACCTGGAGGCGAAGTTATACTTCTTTTTGAGTGTGCTGGTGTTTACATCCCGAGTCGCCTAAACCGCTGCCCAGGCTTGATAACACTCCTGCTTACTGCGTAATGCAGCCTTACAGGAGTGACCAAACCAAGGCTGAGATCTGCCTCCGATGGGTACCACAGATGATGGAATAAATAGTTTCATTCCCTTTAGCACCACATCGGTGACAGAGTCAGCAAAAGCGCTGGGATCATCCGGCGAGAAGAAAACCCGCCCCCATGGGTAGGACGCAAAGAAAGACCGCATTCCGTTCCAATCCGCCGACTTGTAATGCTAAACACGACGGCAACCTGCAGAACGTAACCGCGAGGGGAGCGTGAGTGGCACCACACTCCGGATCAGACAATGATCCGAAGAGCCGAGAGGGGCATCGACGGAAACTTGATATCCGTCCGGATGAGAGGCCAGCAGAAGGTCCAGCAGCGAAGGTGTATGATGCTCCACATCTGGAATCCCCGTAGGCGAAGTAACCAGTTGTGTTAGACCATATGCCAAGGCAAAGTCATAAACAGATCTCCTCGCATGATCGGTTAAACGTGAACCGAGACATTTGGCGTGGTGGGCGTTATAATCGCCAAGGATCATCATCATGATCTCTGCGGATGGGACCTGTTGTAGCAAGGAATCTGTAGCCATTTCGACGTGCTCGATAAGTCGGTCTGTTTCGGCATTTCCGCTATGGGACCTATAGAGGCACCCGTTGACGCGCGGTTGTTCATCGCTGTCTACGCATAGCCAAAGGATGGACAGGTTCGAACCTTCAAGATTGCCGAAGCGTCGAGAACAGATGTCCTCTCTGACATACACGCAAACTCCAGCCCGAGGCACAAAGAAGTGCTCCAATTTGTACCCCGGATAGGAGAGATACGAAGTATCAGCCGGAGAGGACACCTGCGTCTCGGTCAGAAAGAGCAAGGCCGGTTTCGCCATCTCGAGATGATAGTGGACGGCGTTTAGGTTCGAGTGAAGTCCTCTGATGTTGCAGAAATTCACGGATAGCGTGGCAGGGGTCGCCTTGGTATTGTTGCTCAGTTTGGCCCGAGCAGTTATGTTTTTGAGATTTTTTGAGTAATTTTGCCCCCCTCCCGCCCCCAGAATACGCGAGGCAGCCTGAGCACCCACGCTCAGGAGTGGAATAACATGGTCGTGTATGCTCAGCGAGGGATTCTCCAGGGGTGCTGGTACCCTACTGGGGTATTCTTTGGTGTAATTCCGCTACCATGTTGATGGGGGGGGGGGGGTAATTAGACCTCCGGCCACCTGCACTCACCAGACGAAACCTATATTTTCTAAAGTCAAAGAGCGAAGTAATAATGTACTTCAGAGAGTTAAAAGCTATGGTGGAGCGACAGACAGGAAAATACATCAAGGTACTGAGAACAGATAACGGTGGAGAGTGCTGCTCATCGGAAATGGAATGTTTTTTGAAGAAATCTGGAATCGTGTGAACAGAACGTTGGTTGAGAGGGCTCGATGTCTTCCTATGATGCACGATTGAATAAAAAGTTTCGAGCTAAAGCAGTGAACACTGCAGATTACTTACGGAATAGAACATTGGCTTCAGATCTACAAATTACTCCATATGAGCTCTGGTTCGGCAGAAAGCCAAATCTCAGCCACATAAGAATCTTCGGAAGCACGGCAATGGCTCATGTTCCCAAAATAAAAAGAACAAAATGGGACAAAAAGGCAGAAAAATACATTTTTCTCGGATATGCAGAGAACACTAAAGGCTATAGATTATATAATCCTGTAACTAAGAAAATTTTTACCAGCAGAGACGTTGTTATCATAGAGGCCAGTAAAGACTTAAAAATGGTACAAGCTGTGGTGGAGAATAAAGAGGAAGAAGTTACAGAAAAGGAAGAAGAAGAATGAGATAGGCCTTCAGAGATGGATCAGACTCTCATAACCGACGATAGCGATGAGACAGCAGAAAATCCGAGAGACGAGACAAACATACCTAGTGAAGAAGAAAGATCAGACATATCAACTAGTTCTTCAAATTTTGAGAAGTGCACGAGTGAGATAGAGGATATAAAGTATCCTGAGCCTGTGAGTAAACTAGAAAAGCGTGTGATACAACCACCGCAGAGATATGGTTTCAGTAATGTATGCGTAATTGAGGATGAAAATATAGGTAATGAATGTTTTACCTATGAAAATGTTATCAATGATACTATACAAGAAGAGTGGTATAAAGCAATGGAAGGCGAATTGCAATCGTTCCGAGATAGCGACGCATGGGACCTAGTGGACAAACCTAGTGATGCGCATGTTGTGCAGTGTAAATGGGTCTTTAAAAGGAAGTTAAATAGTGATAATACAATGAGATATAGGGCCGGATTGGTTGCAAAAGGTTATATATAAAAACAAAGAATTGACTATAAAGAAACTTTTTCACTAGTTCTAAGATACTCTACTTCAAAATTGTTATTTGGTATTAGTGTTAACTAAGACTTAAACATAACCCATTTGGGTGTGACAAGTTTTTTTAAATGGTCAACTCAATGAATGTGTGTACATGCAATTGCCTAATAATTTAAAAAATGACAGTAATATAGGTAAAGTTTTGAAACTAAAAAAGGCGATTTATGGATTAAAGCAGTCAGCTAGAGCAAAGGTAAGGCAAAAAAAAGGTTGAAAATTGTTTGCAAGAGAAAATTGAAAGATGAAAAGAAAAAAAAGAAAATTGTTAGGTAATAAGGAATCCCTGTTTATTTGTTAAAATATCTGAAAAAGAAAAAACTTTATTGTTATATATGTATATGTTAATCAGACAAAATTTATCGAGGAACTATTTTGTAAATTTAACATGCAAAAGTGTAATAGTATAGAGACCCCCATGGAGGTCAATTTAAAACTAGAAAAAGTTAAGAATGTGAGTAGTACCAATCCTTATCAACAATTGATTGGAAGTCTCATGTATCTTTCCGGTCTTACGAGACCAGATATCTCATACTCAGTTAGTTACTAAGCCAGTTCAATAACTGTAATTCAGAAAGGCATTGGAAACATGAAAAAAGAGATCTAAGTGCCACAAGAGATTTTGGTTGGTATATGTAAAAAACAATTTAGATCTAATTGGCTTTGTAGATGCTGATTAGGGCTCAAATTCTGTGGACAGGAGATCATTTACTGGATAATTTTTCTTGTACTCAGGTTGTGTAGTTTCTCATGAATGTAGAGAGGAGCAAACAGTGGCGCTCTCCAGCACAGAAGCTGAATACATGGCCATCTGTGAAGCCAGCAAGGAAGCAATTTTTCTGAAAAATCTGCTTACAGAGTTAATTGTTAGCAAAAATAGTACGGTTAATGTATAATGATAGTCAGTGCCCAAAAATTAAGTGATAACAGTATGTATCATAGACGGAGTAAACATATAGATGTAAAATTTAATTTTATAAGAGAAGCTGTTGAAAGATAGTTAGTAAGGATCGAACACTTGAATACATCAGAAATGCCAGTTGATCTTTTTACTAAGAGTCTGTGTAAAATGAATCATCACAAATTTATGGGAGAAAAGGGATTGTTAAATTAAAGAAGTGTTTTTCTTTTGTTTATTTCAATAAGTGGTGGTGTTAATTTTGTATAGAAATTAACAAGAAGAGAGAAACTGCCTAGTAACGCCATCTATCGCCAATAAAGGTCTACCATTCTATCATTCACTCTATAGCTATGTAAAATGTACCTACCTATGTAAAGCTTATCTATGAAATAAACGTTAGTCTGTTTGAAGCTATTCAACTCGTTTTATTACAGTTTTTCTAACTCAAGAACATATTTAAACAAAATGTAAAATTAGGTTGATACTAATATATATGTCCCATTTTGGGCTGGGAATTGAAGTTCCATTTTATGTGGGACTTTTAAGTCCCACAGAATGCCGACTACCAACTGCCGATTTTGTAACTTACCTATCATGTCGTAAAACGTGACTAATGGGATATTAGATTTTTACTTGTTACTGTATCACATCTTTCAATGTTTCTAATTATACCCATAATATATTTTAACTAAACTCGGTCAAAGTGGGTTGGACTCACTTTTGACAATGCCTCACCTCGGGGATTAGAAGCTTAAGTGTTAAATGTTATATAAAGTTACAGCCTATGTAGGTACCACTGCTGGGCACAGACTTGGGAGAGGGAGGCAAGGAAGTGTCTGCCGCGCTGCATCAATGCGTGTTGGCGGAATTCGCATGTCTTCATAATATTATTTTTTCTGAGAATGCAGGTTTTCTCACGATATTTTCCCTCACCGCCAAGCGCGTGATCAATGAGGACTTAAAATTGCAATTAACAATTTCATTGCTGCCGACAGGGATCGAACCGGGGGGTTGCTCTCGTACTGTGAAATTTACGACGAACACTAAGCCACTGAGCTATCATGGCTCGGGAAATGCGAAGTAAATCCGTAAAATTCCATTGCTCTAAATTCTGGGCCACTTCGGTTATAGGGCGAATTTTCCTAACATTAACTAAACTGTATGCCTAACTCGTTAGCTACTAAAATACTTCTCTATTTGTCGAGACTTCCAATTTCTTAAATTGAGGTATTTTAATCAAAATATAGACATTGCAATCATTTTATTTGTAACGAGGAAAAATCACTAAAGTGTTGTTTTATAATATATAAGAAAACTTACAAAATATCATTAAGCTCGGTGAAATAAAAAAAAAAAAGAGAAAATTAGCTTCTAATATGAAATATATAATTTACTGTAATTTCCTCATTCATAATAACGTAATTGAAATAATTATCTCTATTATAATGTACATGAAACCATACATATAAAAACCGTGGAGTTAACAATATTCACGGAGAGTGAAGAAGCTATATGTAAGCAGTTATTCCTTAATTATATTACACGTGACTCCGAGGCCAATTTAATTGATCTGGTAGGCTTCACTTCGAAATAAATGAGCGGTGTGGTAGCTTCTAGTATTGCTTATTAAATTTAATCATATTTAGTATTGCAACCATATATTCTATTTAACGAATGTTGTATATAAAAGGTACTCTGACTTCATATAATAATAATATGTACATGTAAATTTGAATGACAAATTAACATGTACCAATTAATAGAGAATTGCTACAGCTGTCCATTGATACAATAACTAATTTCAAATAAAAAGGTTTGGTATTTATATTGCCTAAGTTATCTCTCTCTCACTCTTCAATCCGGATCACATCAGATACTCTTGGCGGCTCTGACCAGATGGACTTGTTGGTAGATGAATGAGAAATGACGACCACCTCCTAATACGCAATAGCATTGTTTAACTGCTAGACTGACTGAACATTAACAGCTGAATTGGCGATCACAGTACGAGATGTCCTAAGCACAACTCTCGATGGATGGTTTGTTAATTTTATGCCCTTATGAATATTTACCCTTAATTTAATATAAATAAATAAACATTCACGGAGTGATTATTATAAAATTATGATGAAGCAGCTGCGTCAAAAAATGTGAAACGGACCGAAAGTTATATAAATATAATCGGCAGTAGGACACACAGGGGCAATTACCACATATCCTTAACTGACTGCAAATGTTTTTTTATTTTGTTCATGTCATTGTTTTTGCATAAATGTTATCTCCGGCAAGAGTACTTTGTGAAAAATATCTGTATAAATAATAAATAAAGCCGTGGTAGCTCAGCGCTTAAGCGCTTGCTGTAAATTTGACAGTACGCGAGCAATTTGTGTTCGACCCCCGCAGGCACCAATTAAATTATTAATTGCAATTTTATGAACAGCGAACGAAAACATCATGATGCCAGCATGACTAGAAAATTCTAAAAAAATATTTCGAAGACATGTGAAGTCCATCAGTACGTATTAAGGTAGCGCGGGTTTTTTGTTGCCCTAAAACTTTCTCAGAAATGAGAGGAGACCTGTGCCCAGCTGTGGGACGTATATAGACTTTAACTTTATTTATTTATTTAGGTAATCATACAGCACTTTCATCGTATTTACAATACATAATATCATACAGTAAGCTCAATAGAGACTACACAAGTTTTTATCAATTATTAATCAAGCGTGCGTGTGTGCTTGAATAAGTGTACATGCGTGCGTGCCTGTGTGCGCACGGGCGGCGTTGTTGCGCGTTTGTGTGTGTGTGTATGTGTGTGTGTGTGTGTGTGTGTGTGTGTGTGTGTGTGTGTGTGTGTGTGTGTGTGTGTGTGTGTGTGTGTGTGTGTGTGTGTGTGTGTGTGTGTGTGTGTGTGTGTGTGTGTGTGTGTGTGTTTGTATTATAAATGTTTTTATTTACTGAAGTAAAACTGCTTCAATGTATAAATTATTTACATCTCTATCACTATGGGCGCTATTTTAAGCATCCGAAAAACACATTTGAGTTTGTAAACAAAATCACTTGACCTCGACATTTGTCTTGTAGTAGCCATACATTAGTGCTAAGTGTGTGTAATTTGGAACTCTGCCAGAATACAGCGGTCAGTGTAGGCAGACAATTCTTCACTTCACACCAAATTTAATCTAATTGTACTCGTAAATGTTGTGACAACTTTCCAGTTTAATAATTACAAGTTAGAAAAATTTTGCTTATGATGTAATCTATCGCTTTTTTTTAAGATTTGGAAAGCAAAATCATTATGATTGGAATCAAAAACAATATTATAAGGCCGGTTTAAAAATATTTTAGGTGATATATATATAAAAAATTGTAATAATTAATAAAATGTTTAATTTTGACCCCTTTTGAGTGGTCTAAGGGAAGTTAAGTCTAAGCTCAAAATATCCCATAATTTCCATTCTGTGAGGAGTGGAATTTTTTCTCCAAATTTAAGTGGGGCCATAATAAGTATGAAGTAGAATATTGGAAGTATAATCTATGTAATATAAACATCATTAAAATTAGTTTACAACTGGTATCGCGTTATATACGTACCAAAAAGAACAAACTGTTGAATTGAGAACCAGCTCTCTTTTTGAAGTTTGCTAAAAAGCATCAAACCTACTTGTAAATACGTTTTTGCAAGTAAAGATTTCAGTAATGTCGCTTAGCGCTTAAATGAAGACACTTTGCAAGCTCATCGCCCGTTACGGAAATACGTACTTGAATGCTTTTTCTGCCTTTTATGAAACACCAAGATAGTTGTTGCATTATTTTTTATTTAAATAGCATTAATATAGCTGATACTATTAAGTAACGACCGCGACTCGTAATAGACAGAGAAATAGCTAGAAATAGGTAATAAACATAGCTAGCTCTTTATTTGTATCAAATACATCATATTTGGTTTGTAGTGATTTCTTATATTTATAGGAATATTCAACCAGTTTTAACAGTGGTCGAGCCACGCTGCAGCTTCCGCTGTAGCATGGATGGGACGGCTCGAACCGGTGCAGTACCAAGACCTCACAGAATACCAACGTAAAGTAAAAGCTTTGCTTCTGCGTTTCGCTTGGTTAGTGCAGGTGGTCGGAAGCCAAAAAAAACTACTCCAGGAAGGTACCAGTATCCACGGTTAAGCTACCCTCTTCTTCCTGAGCGTAGGTGCTTAGGCTGCCCGGATATTCTAGGGCGGGGGGGGGGGGGGGGGGGAGTAGGGAGGGAGTAGGTTTGTACCTTTCCTACCCGGGGTACAAAATAGAAGACTTCTTTGTGCCCCGGGATGGAATTTGTGTATACGTCAGAGAGGATATCTGTTTTTGATCATCCCGCAGGTTGAGTGCTTTATGCCTAATGTGCGATTCACACAGTGCTCAGTACGCAAAGCCCTCCACTCCCTGGACATACACAAGTTGAGTGGGCCTAACGGAATCCCGCCAATTGTGCTGACGACGTGCGCTCCAGTGTTGGCACCGGTTCTAGCGCGACTTTTCCGGTACTCCTACTCCCTATGCGTTATCCCGAATTCATGGAAGACAGCTTTCGTGCACCAGATCCCTTAAAAACGTAACAGCTCAGATCCGTCCAACTACAGGCCTATCAACATCACCTCCTTGTTCTCGAAAATAATGGAATCCATTCTTAACTGCGAAGAGTACCGTATGAGCATACGGTACCTTGAGGAGTACCAGCTGATTAGTGACTCCCAGTACGGTTTCTGTCGGGGTCGCTCAGCTGGTGATTTTCTTGGTTACCTAACACATACATGGGCGCAGGTGATCGAGTCCAAGGGGGAGGCACTAACCGTTAGTTAGGACATAGCAAAGGCGTTCGATCAGGTCTGGCACAAAGCGCTGCTTTCGAAACTTCCTTCCTATGGGCTTCCTGCGAAATTGCGCAATTGGATCACTAGTTTTCTGGCTGATCGGAACATCAACATCGTAGTAGACGGTGCAT